ATTATTATGATCCACAGAATGAGTGAATACCCAGGAAACAAGTAACAGGACAAAAGTCCTTGAGTAATAATAGCAAGATCAACCTTGCCCTGTGTGATCAGTAATTTGTGAATATATAACACTTATTACGTTAAGGCTTTTCTAACAGCCCCCCCCCCCACATACACATATTTTTTGTGAAATCCCTGTGAGGCAAAATTGGGTAGTGGGGGTCTTTGTGACCTTGGCCAAGTTTTTTATCCTCTTTGTAGTCCAGTGTCTTTACTGGAGATAATAATAGAACCTATTTAATCACTTTCGTGAGGATTCAATGATTTAAAGTAGATGTAAGGCTTAGAACAGTCCTTAGCTTACGGTGAGCATTCAATAATTGTTATCTATTGTCATGCAGAGATATAACTCTAAAATATTTCAATCAGTACTCTGGTGTGGGCATCATCTATCTAAAACCTGCAAAAGTACCTTTCCACAAAAATCCCTATCACTGTTAAATTAAATGGAGACTAGTGCACTAAAGCAAATTCATCAAAGTAAAAAAAAAAAAAAAAATCCCCCTGCCACAGGTGTGTGATACTGACCTTTTGGTATGGCCCTGCACCATTTCTTCTTAAGGGGGTACCATTTTTTCCTCCTGCAATCTATTTGACATTTCCACCTGAAATGGCCCAGTGGAAAATCATGTGGAAATAGAAACTTGAAATCCAGTTTCAAGACACATGTGCTTTTATAATTATTAGTGGATTTTTTTTTTGGTTCTCTCCAAAACCAGAACGAGTTGGAAGGATTTTTCATGGGAGAGCAATGGATTCACACCAGAACCTCTTGTTAGATTCTTCAGTGCTGTGACGTGAAGTTGTCTTGGCTGAAGCTAAAGCCTCTGACCTTGCTCGCTGGGAAATGGGGAAGAGGTGGTTAAGTCCTCTTTATGGATGCATCCAAGGCATCCAAGGCCGTGTTTACCTTTTGATCTAGCACCGTGATATTATTGTCAACATCTCTGCCTCTGCACCCCACCTCATTATTTGTTTGCATCTGTTGATATTCGTGAAATCTTTGCTTTCATGAGAAGGGGAAGAGCACGTTTGAGTCAGGTAGCCCAAGACAATGCAGAGAATGGGAGTTTCTTTCCACTCTGCTCTCAGGAATGAATTTGAGTTCTTTTGGAATATCAACCAGCTTCTCTGCAGGAAACAGAATGCAACTCAGAAGGAGAAACGGAAGAGGCATTAATGAAGGGACTCTTTCCAGAGGTGTGAGCAGAAATGAGGAAGCCAACAAGGGACACTGATGTAAACAGAGATAGCAGCACCAAGTCCAGGCCTGAAGGGACAAAGGGAAGAAAAGACCTTGGAATTCTCTGTGGCATGCCCGGAGAGCAGGGCCACAAAAGCAGGAGCTGAAGCCTAGAAGGGCTGCAGGCCATGCTGGATGTGTGATGACAGCGTAGGGAAGGGGCAGAGAATCAGTGCCTCATCCTCACTCTTCCCTCTGGACTGACTCTCCTGCTGGTAACTCCCAGCAGTCAAATCCAACCAGGAGCCCAATACCAGGAAAACCCAAAGCACCGGGCACCAGGGCCCGTTTCCTGATGCTCAGAGCAGGGCAAGGCAGAGAAGAACAGCGAATGGAACAACATATAGGGTTAGAAAAAGATCAGGAACAGACAGGGATGTTCATCCAGAGACTTAAAAGATTCTAGACATGGAATGAAGGTCAGAGCTAACAGAAGTATGAAAGACAGTGGTAGAGACTCTGGGCCTAGGCAGAGCTGCTTTGTGGGTCCGCCAAGGAAGTGTGGCTGAATTTGGAGAAGGGACCATTCATTCTGTCCAGCCATGGCCTTGGAGCCCAGCAGAGCTCTCGTGTTTCAGTGACTGTAAACACTGGAAGAATCAGAGAATCTGGGGCATGGACATTGGAGATCTTGTGCCACTTTGTGGGGAGAAGATTTTGCCAACCAGGAGCATGAGGAACAGAGGAAGGACAGGACAGACCTATGTGGTGGCTGCAGCTGATGGTCCTGTGTGTGGATTTGCAAGAGGAAGGCTTCCTGACCCTTAGGTCTGTGGACTGAAGCAATCATAAGTTGCTTAATACAAACATACATGACATTTTCCTATAAGCAAAAGCTAGGGATATCTGGGATATCTTGCATCACACATGTATTAGTCAGGGTTCTCTACAGAAACAGAACCAATAGTATATATATGGATGGATAGACAGACAGAGAATTTGTACTTCCTGTGCACAGCTACTTGCATTTCATACAATACCATTTAATTTTTATATCCACTCTCTGAAGTAGGTTCTGTTATTCCCATTTCACATAGGAGGAAAGTGAATTTCAGAGAGATACAAGGCTCCTGTAAGAAAAGGGTCCTCAGGTACATCTCTAGATGATCTCTGGATGATCCCGATCTGTGCTAATACGTTAACCATGAGCCACATGTGGCCACTGAAATGCAGCTACTCAGAATTAGGAGGTGCTACAAGCCTTAAATACACACTAGATTTTGAAAAGCTTAATAGGAACAAAAGAATGCAAAAAATCTCCTTAATAATTTTTATATTAATTGTTTCTTTAAATGATATTTTGGCTAGAATGGGTTACATAAAGCATATTATTTTTAAATTCAATTTCACCTGTTTCTTTTTAATTTTTTAATATGGCAACTAGAAAATTTTAAATTTTACATATGTGGCTCACCTTTGTGACTTGCATTCTATTTCTATTGAGCAGCACTGATCCAGAATTTCATTTGTAGTGAGTCATGAATTGTTGCATAACAGGTTGCCCCCCCCAAATCTAGTGGCTTAACACAATCATTTAGTTATATCTCTCAATTGTATGGATCAGGAATTCAGGCAGGATTGAGTAGGCCATTTCTCTGCACCAGGTGAGGTGCACTGGGATCACTTGGTGGTATCCACGTGGCAGCTGGGTGGTCTGGTGAGCCCAAGCAGCTTCATCACATTCCTGGGGCTTTGGCTGGAAGGCTGGGCTTATCTGGGTTCATCTCCACATCATCTCCAGCTGTCCATTGCAGACATCTCCAGGTGTTCTCCCCAGCAGGGAAGCTGAACTTCTTCCATGACACTTTCAGGCTCCATGAGAGAGTGTTCCAAGGGACAGGAAATAGAGATTTCTAGTCTCTAAAGGCCCACTTCTGGAAATAGGCAGTGTCATTTCTCCTGTGTTCTGTTGCTTGGCACTGTCACAAATTCCACTCCCAGTGAAGAGTAAGGGACAGTCCATTTCACAATGGGAGCCGTGCCAAAGATTTTGTGTCCATTTTTAATCTATCAGGTTAATCTAGGGCAGCGATTCTTATACGTTAGCTCACATCAGAATCACCTAGAGGGCTTGTTAAAACACATTATCATTGGGTTCCACATCCATGATTTCTGAATCAGTAGGTCTCAGATAGAGCTCAAGAATTTGCATTTTTAATAAGGTCCCAGATGCTCTTCTGCAGGTGGTAGTCTAGGAACCACACTCAGAGCACCAGTAATCTCTACGTCAATATGACTAACAAAGAGCGATTCCTACCCACTCCCCAGCTGTCCCCTTTGCAATCTTCACCCTAAACCACCCCAGTGTATTTCCATGTAATATCATATATTCCTACTTCTATTCTTCAGGGATAGAAGCAAAGCTTATACAATACCAGACACAGTTCTTATTGACTCAGAAAATAGGCAACGATGTGCTTGTTATCATGAACAGCTGGAGCAGGTAGGACCTAACAAGTGGATTGTCAATCTCAGACACAAGTGCCTTATGTGGCAGCATTCCACAGGTATAAAAACCTCGCTCACTGTATTTGTTACCTATTGCTGCGTAATATATTATTCTGAAACTTACTAGGTTAAGACAACAAATATTTATTATCTCATAGTTTCCTGGCAGGAATCTAGGAGCAGATTAGCCAAGTGGTTCTGGCTCAGGGTCTCTCAGTGAGCTGCACTCAGTGTCATCCAGGGCTGCAATCACCTCAAGACTCAAATAGGAGAGGATTTGCTTCTGAGCTTACGCCAGGTCTACTGACAGGTCTCAGAAGATCCACTTCCAAGCTCACCCATATGTTGGAAGGTCTTGATTCTTTGCCCCTTGTGCTGCCCCATGACATGGCAGATGGTTTCCTTCCTTCTTGAAGCAATCGAGAGACAGCAAGAAAGAGAGAAAGGATGCCCAAGATGGAAGCCATAGCCCTTTTATAACTTAATGCTGGAGGTGATAGCTCATTGCTCTGCCCTACTTCATTCATAAAAAGTCAGTAGTAAAAGGGGAGATTAAAAAGGGGCAGAAATACTAGGCAGGGCTCATTAGAGGCCTCCTTAGCCCTGCTGCCCACTATATTAAAAGGAATTCATGGAACCCAACAAAGTGGTAAGTTGAGTCCTGACTATATCCTAAAGTTACACAATCAATCACAATCTTGAAGTTATTTAGAACATACCATATCCCCTGAAAAAGTGATTACATGTAATTTAAGGGCACTGCTATTTATCTTGTTCTGTGACAGCAGGCTTATAAAATGGTTCTTCTATAGTATTCTAAGTATTAATAATAATAACAAGTTCTTATAGCAAAAATAGGAATAAGCATTCATTTAGTTACTGACTTAATAATCACATAAAGCATGAGATTAACATTGACCAATAGCATCTGAGCCTTAATAATTACATAAGCATGAGTTGCTATTGGCCAATAGCGTCTGAACCTCTAAAATATATTTTTATATGAATCAACATTTTGAATCTATTTTAAAATTATTTGCAAAAAGGTGTCACTGGATTTGGAGAATAAGTAATGTTATCCTGAGGATCACATACCAGGCACTATGACACTATTTAACACATGTTGCTGTCTTGTTTCAACTTTACCCAAACCCTATAATGAAGGATACTGGGGCTCAGAAATTATAAATACTTCATCCATGATTCCATAGTTACTAAAAAGCTTTGAATCCTTGTGTGCAGATGACTCCCAAACTCTTTTTTTAATTAACTATGCTGCCTTGTCAACCAGTTTAGGGTTTGGTTATTTGATTCATTAAATTTAATATCAAAGGTAGCATTATTATAAGCAAAGTATAAGGGCATGTCAATTTCTATGTCAGGTAAGTATCAGCTAACACAATAAAAATAACCAAGACAACCAACTTGGATTCTACTTACCTCAATCCAAGTTGCTTATCTTGGTTATTTTTATTGAGTTTAACTGACACCAGAATTGATTTTCATTATGTAATATTGCTTGGTCATATAGAGTGCCTTGAATAAGCTTAAGAACAGTCCCACACTCTCAGAAGTTTGGGCTCTCATATAGTCTAATATAGTCTCGTATAGCATGCTTCAACTAAGACCAGCTGCCTTCTACCTTTTCCAGTTTCTTTTCCTGCTTAATGGATCCATGTCTGGAAATGTCAATCTGGGAGGCATTCTCTATTTCCTGGGTACCTACAAAGTCCTAGTCAGAATCAAACAGTATTAATGCTCCAGTGATCCTGGAAGTGTTTCCTCCCAATAGTCAAGTCTATTGACTATCGAAGCTAGCTCTTTCCTCCAAATACCACAGCCAGCAGCCATAGCTTCACGGGCTGTCAGTCATTTTCAAGAGGCACGTACATCAGGTTGAGCATAAGTTGAATAAGTTAAGGTTTCTAGAGTCCATATCTTCAAATTCTCTGGACCTTGAAGAATAGATAGTTTGGAGATGGAGGGCAAGAACATTCTAAGATCAAAGCTCAGCAAGAACAAATGCAGAGAACAGCCTGGATTGTTGCATAGGGAAGGCAGTAGTTGTGCTTAGCATGAGTAAGTACTGCATGAAAGAGAGGTAGCAGCTGAGTCTGGAAAGGATGTTTGGGGTCAACTGGGGTAGAGCTATGGAAATTAAACATACGCTACAGGTAATGGAGAACAGATCATCCAAGAAGAGGGGAACAATCAGTCTTCATTACCTTTTCACGGAAAAATAATTCCAGTGCCAATTAAGAGCAGAGAATTTGAAAAATTTTGAAATCATGGTAGCAGCCATTCATTTGAAACTGTTTTGTCACAACTGTAAAAAACTGATTACAAAGTGAGTGACAAGGAGTATTTAATGGATAACCCCACCTATGAAACACACCATATCCAGGCAACAGACGGTAGTCAAAGCAACAAAAATTTCATTATAAAGAACTAACTCAGACTTGTCTATCTCTGAGTAATTTTGAATAAAATGTACCCGGAATACATGGTGGGGTATAAAACAGACCACTATTACTAGGAGGAAGAAGAAACTTTTGATTTGAGCTCTATAGTCTTGATGTGCCCACATGTTAGGCCAGAGAGCTTTTATCAGTTGAACGATGACGGCCATCTGCATCAGAAAGAGTATCACAACCGTTGAGATCATAATGACAATCATAGAGTAGTTCAAGATAATGAGTTCCCTGCGGTCGAGATCTTTGTAGAACTCAAAGCATCGTTGTTGTTCTGAGTAACTTGGATGTACACCATATTGCAAAAATAATATTGGCCAAAAAACAAGGCTACCAATGGTCCAAATAACAGTGCTTAAAACTACCATGTGGTACTTTTGCAACTGTTGTATTTGGAGTTTCTTAAAATAGATGAGCAATCGGAGTATGACAATGGCCACATAGAAAACAAAGGTGAAGTACATATGACCGTATATTATGCTGCTGACCAGTCGGCAGAGAAAGGATCCGAACTCCCAGACCTCTAAGATATAATAACTGAGGCGGAATGGGAGGCTGACCAGGAGGATTGAGTGTAGCACTATGATATTGAGAACGATCATGGCAATCATTGATTGGCTTTTCCTTTTGCACATCATACGTGCCATCAATACTGTCCCAGTAGTGCCTCCAAGCAAAACCATGCTGTAGAGTGTTATCAGAATCATCCTGCAGTGTCCCTTGCAGTGGCCTTGTTCTGTGTTTGAGGCGTCTGGCAGGGTGGTCGTATTGATGGGCTCCATGTTTCACCACAAAATGCTTAGAAGACCATAAACCCCTAAATCAAAAGTTTTACAAAATTATAATGGATATATTGAAACTATACACCTACACTTTTGCAATCCCAACCAATTGTTTACAAACTCAAGTGGTATACCCAATAAATATTGTCAGGGACTCCCCTTAATTACCCAAACATATTGAAGAGACAGAGTGAAGCAAAATCACAAAAGTAAGTTTGTTTGAATATAAAATTCATAACTGTACACCCAGGCATTCTATTAACAGATATGTCAAAGCTCACATACCAGGGCTGGGATTAACATGGGACATGTTAGCCTGTGGCATAAAATTTAAGGAAGGGCCAAAAACTCAGTAATCAAAATCAAGATACTTTAAAGCAGTTTTAAAAAAAAAATCAAAATTAATGCAAAAAATTCATGATGAATAAAATAACAAAATTTTAAATAAAGGCAGAGTCAGTATACACACACTACACACTCATATCTACAAAGGTCATTCCTCCTATTGTCAGAATTCAATCTGAGATAACATAGAGAAGATCATATAAATTGTGCACAATTATTGTAAGAAGATGCATCAGACATTTTAAAATATTTTCTACTGGGGCGCCTGGCTGGTTCAGTCCAAAGAGCATGTGACTCTTGTCCTTGGGGTTTAAGACCCATGTTGGGCATAGAGCCTACTTTAAATAAATAAATAAATAAATGTATATAATCTTTTGTATGACTAGCTTTTGAGCAGGGAGCAGCACACACTCTTACATACTTTCTGCACTCTTTTCTTCTTGCTAACCCTGGATCTTTTCTTAGACTAGAGTGTTACATTTTGGTGAAAAGTTGGGGTTGATGAGTAAGTTCTGTTTAGTTGGGGTTTTTTTTTAAGATTTTATTTATTTATTGAGAGAGAGAGAGAGATAGTGAGAGAGTGGGGAGAGGGAAAAACAGACACCCCGCTGAGCAGAGAGCCTGACGCAGCGCTCAATCCCAGGACCCCGAGATCATGACTGAGCCGAAGACAGATGCTTAACTGACTGAGCCACCCAGGCGTCCCTGTTTAGGTTTTATGTAAGTTTTTCGGGTATGGATGTGTAAGGAGCAGTGACTCATAGCAATCTGCCATCCTGCAAATGCGCGCCAGATCTGTCACTGAGGCGCTGTGGGAGTGTATGTGAGTCACCTGGCTCGACGGCGCTCAGGCTGTGAAATGGGAAAGGTCGTACTGCCTATATGAAGGGGTTATTGGAAAATTGCATGAGTTAGTGTACTTGAGACAGCTTGATAACAACAGGAAAAAAAGCCATGTAAAAGTTATGGTTCTTAACATGAAACAACAGAAACAAAAAGGCATTTACCCCTTTCTCCTTACTCTATATACCTAGGCGGATATACTGTTAGTCACATAAAATTGTTATGGCATCAGTAAGTATTTAATGAATATCTGACAATAAAAAATAAAAAACTTTTTCAAACCTTTGATTGGACAGTATGGGTCTCAGGCATCAACAGGTCAGACTTCTCTTTCCAGAAGGATCTGTGTCTACTTTCCTCATGTATCTCCCATCCACATGGCCAGAAGCAAAGTTTGAGCATTTGTATCTGAAGGAGAAGTTATTCCACAGTGAATGTCTAAAATATCTTAGAATTTTTCTTCTGCTACTCCAGCATGTCCTCAGAGGAAATAACTAATTTTTTTGTTTGTGAAACATTATATTGGACCTGGCATATATAGATGCTGTCAAATAAAATTTTATTATAACTCAAAAATGTAATTATAACTTGCTTAACAACATAAATTTTATGTGCTGGAATATGCATTTTCACAAAGTACATATTTAAAACATATAATGCTGGGGCGCCTGGGTGGCTCAGTCAGTTGGGGGTCTTCCTTCAGTTCAGGTCATGATCCTGGAGTCCTGGGATTGAGCCCTGTGTCAGGATCCCTGCTCAGTGAGGAGCTCTGTCCCCTCATGCTCTCTCTTGTTCATTCTCTCTCAAATAAATAAATAGAATCTTTTAAAAAAAATTTTTAATAAAATAAATTATATAATGCTTATGTGATTTTTGTGTGAAACAGAATAGTTTTATATAACTTATGAACAAATATGATACCAACTGAGTTTTAATATGTGGGCAGTCCTCAAGTCTAAGAAGACAAGATTCACGTTTGAAATTATTTTAAAGCAATGAAAATCTAAATTATTTGTCAGTTGCACAGTTTCAGTGGACACACCTCCCCAGGCAGTATGACATTTGGAAACAGGGTACCCTGCCATTTACTAGCAGCCTAATTGTGGGACAGACGCTTAACTCTAAAGTTGTCTCTTCAGCTGTAAATATGGGAATGAGAAGATCTATTTTGTAAGAAGGAAGTTAGATTGTGTCTGTAAAGAACCTAACAGATACCCTGACGTAGACTAGGGCTTCAAAGTGCGAATGCCACTTCTCCCTCCATAATGTACACAGGATATTTCATAAACACAAGATCCCATTCTTCTGTAGTTACTTCTCAGAATTGTCCTAAAAATACTTAAATACATGGGGACTATGTTCCACTGTTTTTCTCCCCCTCAGGACTTAAGGACACGGCCCCCATGTCCCCACCAAACATTATCCTTCAATAGCCTGTAATTTCTAGGTATTTCTTTGCTTGTTTTCTAAGCAGAAACAAATGACTACCCAGACTACTTACATGTTCTTTTCCTCTGAGGATTTGGTTCTGATGGAAGACTCAGGGCACGCTGCTTATTTGTGGGTGCTCTACATGAGGGCAAGCAATAAGAACAGGTGGCTAGAATCAAGACTCCAGTAATGACAAGATTCAAGAGAAATCTTGGGGTGGGCTATGAATGACGAATGCACTTTAGACCGAAGGCTTCCAAAGTTGAACAGTCAAGATGGAGGACCCAGATAAACCTCCTGGACCACAAACGGATATTTGTCTCTACAGCTCGTGGTTAAACAGATAAAAGAGCATTCTTACACATAAAGGCTTTCATTTTTACTGTCAGTGACTTATTTGCAGAAATTTTTCTTATCAACCTCCAGAAAACATCCAGAGTTTTTTTTAAAAGCTGCCTCTTATCAGACTTGTATGTTTTCACCCACGTGTTTTACATTCAGAATGTAAGAATGACCTAGAGGAGTACTTTCGTGGAGACGTTCATATTCTCAACAGTGTGCTCAAAATATAGCTCTGTATTTCAATTTTCAAAGACTCCCCTCAGAAATCATATTTGGAGATATGGTTCTTTTGAAGCCCAAACATCTGGTACTATAACTTCCATGAGAGGGCTCATTTTCATTTTTCTCAAAGGTCTTTCCTTTTCTTACATCAACCTCACTTTCTACCTTCATAGTCTTGTTTAGCTGTGCTAAGACCTCAAAGCATATTTTTAAGGAAGCACTGGGTTTAGGACCGAGACCAACATGCCTTCCAGTGGCAGGCAAACCCAGCCCAAATCATATTACTGCTCAGCTACAGGAATTCAAAAGGATAAAAACTTGATCACCCATATAGCAAGTTCGTGTTGGCCTACATTTAGGTAACTGATAAAATTCTCACTGATGTTGGAAACGTGAGTAGTGTCCCCACCTGTGCTATCTGCTACACGATCATCTAACAGTCCTTGTGGCCACAGAGATATAAGACAACAGAATCTAAAGGTAAAGGAGCCATAAGCTTGATTATGTCAAAAAAAAAAAAAAAAAAACCCTCTCAGTAGAAGATGAGATTTCTAACTCTTATTGTCAAAAGCAAATTTAGACCAACTCAACTCATCTGGAAAAATTTCACGTGGAACCAACATTTCAACCAGTTTTAAATGTATCTCCTTAAATCAAATTAATTCAAAAATACAAATTTTGGTTTGTAGGCCTGGATTGATCTGGCAGCCTCGTTTTTCAGATAAAACATGTTCCTAGAATCCACAGGATAAAGCATGTTTCCATAGAAACCACGCTATATTTAGGGGTTGCTTGTCTGCCCAAGGACTAACTGGGAAATGAGGGAGGTGTGACCAAGAGTTGCACACAGAAATAAATTCAGGTATAATTTGGGACTACAGCCGGCACACAAATTTATTGTTCACACTGACAATGTAAGGATTTCAAGGTACTAAAATGTGTGTATTATTGTATTTACAGCACTGTGCAGTCCATATTTTTTCCCACTATACCTAGAATTTGGCTCTTTTTTTCCTTGGATGGCACCCAGATTTTCAAAAAAAGAAAAAATAATAATAACAAAAGCTTAATAGGAGAGCTTAGAAATCACCAAGTCCAGAAGAGTACAAACAACCGTCTTCATTGACTGATAAAGCCACCACAATTCAGGGAGTTTGGAAAGTTACCACAGGCTGCAGGGCTGGTTGGGGAGTAGATAAGGTTGACGACCACAACCTCGTTTCAAGCCTTCATGTCCACTACACCACGATGTACAATGGTGAACTTGAGATCATTTTTGGGAGGGCCATTAACAATCTATGGCTTCAATTTCCATGTTTTCTATGATATCTGGAATCTTATTTTGGGGATGAACCTTAGTGCTTAAATAAAAGTACATTTTAAAATCCTAGAAAGTTAAAATTCTTCTTCACATGTATTTCTTTGCCCCCAAATAAACTGTTAGAGTAAGGCATTAACCTTGGTGATTATCTTAAGTTGGTTTTCAGAAGACAAAGTCACTCTGTCCCGCTCAAGAGCAGGTCCGAAGCAAACATTGCTGGAGAGGCCACCATCTGACCCACTCTTCCCCCTCCACGGAGGATGTCATCTGAGAAGGCCACCGGTGGGTAGTCTCTGCTTCTGGAATGCTGTAGTGGGAGTCACTTATCATTCTACAGTTGTTAAATTGCCACTCTGAAACATCCTTAGGAAAGGGATAACAAAATCTGCAACTGCTAATTCCTAAACCTGCTTATACTCCTAAGTCAATAACCAAGACCTTGAAGTGCCAGGCAGGATGCCTTGTTTGACCCCAAACACCCAGAGGCAAAGCCCAGCCAGACACTGGAGGCAGCACCTGGGACTTGGAGCTCTCCCGACTCCGGGCATCTGTGTTCTTGGTCCCTCTCCTCATCTCTCTCTGTGTGTTCATGTGGGTGGCTCCCTCTGTCTCCCTCTCTCCAGTTGCAACATCGCTTTCTTCCACGGAGACATGGGATTTGAAACCGGAAGGGGCCAGACAGACCATCCCACATCCCTCCCCTCCATTTCAAGACAGGAGATGGAGGCCCAGGTGGGCCCTTCTGTTCCTCTCCCTTCTCCCCCTGAGGAAGGTGACCCAGGGTAGCATTTCTGAGACTGAAGAGTGTCATGTTGCAAGAAACTCTTTTTTTTTTTCTTCAAATATTCTCTGGCATTTATATTCTAGGATAGCTATAGTCTCAAATAATGAAACCAAAGTTGGCACACCAAAGTCTTAGAC